CTCGCCTGCTCCCGCCTAGCTCCACTGCCGGCGCTCCGGCTCCTGCTTGCCCGGTTGCTGCGGCGCGGAAGCGGGATCCTTTCGTGCTCATGCAAAGGCGCCCGGGCTCCCGCGGCGCCGCGTCGCAGGCTCCTGGGCCTTCGCGCCCGGCCGCGGTGCTGGCGCGGACCCGCAATCCAGGGGCGAATCTGAGCCTCGGCTGGAGGAGCCGGCCAGGCTCTGCGGGGAGGTGGCGGAGTCGGCTGCTCTTGGCTGGGCCACCTCGCTGGTGCGACCCTCCCCTTCCCGCCTCTTCGTCCCCTCCCCCACCTGCCCAATCAGGGTTCGTGGGCGCTTATTGTTTTAATGAAATGTTGCTTGTTGCTTTTTGGGTCCTTGAATGTGACTTTAGCTGCGAGTAACGTGTCCTCGCTCCCCTCGCCGGCTCTCTCGGAGGTTTTTCAGAGAGGTCTCAGCGCATCCATTTTCTCAGATCCTCTCCGAGGCAAGGATCTGGGGCTCTGAGTGCGCCTTGGCGCTCAGAGGCGGTGGCTGGGGCTCTCGGAGGGGGTCTGTGGCCGAGGACGCTCCCGGGTGTAGGCGGCGGTTCTCCTGGGCTGGATGACGTGTTGGGAGCCAGCAGATTTTCCCAGAAAGGTCTCCATGTACAGCTAACATCTTTAGGGCCGCTCGGGTTAATATATGTCGTCAGAGGCTCCCCACGCCAATCCCCGGGCGGCGGGGGCGGCGCCTCGCGCTCTCCGCAATAAAACTTTTTGATGTCCTGGTTGCTAATTGGCGAGGTCCCCTCCCAGGATTGGCTGCCTGTTCTTGACCAAAAGATAATTAAAACTGGGGAAGGCGGGGGGCAAGGGGGGGAAGCAGGGTTAAAAAAACTTTTTATCAGCCAGAGGTTAATGCAAGTGTTTAACAGATGTTTCGCTATTAAAATATTCCCCCCCAAGGCTCAAATATTGAAGAGTCTTCAACCAGGTACAGTATCACTCTGCTTTCTTTTCTGGTTTTAAAAAAATAACGCAGATAATGCTTTTCGGAGTGTTTTGTAGCTAGCTGAGGCAAGAAAATAGGCGTTCTCGTGCACTTTGGGGCTGCAGGGCCGGGACAGGGCGCGGCTGTGACCTGTCCGCGGGCTTTCTAACGCGCCATCTCGGTGGCGATTTCCTCACTCTCTGCGTTACTCGAATCCGCGCCATTTGCGGGGTGGTGTTCAGGTTATTGAGGCAACGTTTGGGGATCTTTGTTGAGCTGCCCTCTCCCCCCAGGGCGAACAGTCTCCCCGGGTCCCCGGATTGTAAATGCTCTTATTTCCACATCCTCAGGGACACCGGCCACAACGAAGACCTCGGGCGATTTCCAAGTGGAGGCATCTGATTGCCCGAATCCGTGGTGTGGCCAGCATCGGTGCGCCCCTGATTTCACTGGCCTGTTTGGTAAGTAACTGAATATTTTTTACAGCGTGTTCAGAGCTTATTTTGCCGTTTTTATGAACAAACATATAAATATATCTCAGCATTCCTGCCTCCTCCATAAAAGCGGGCATCTGTGGAGGGCAGGTTTAGTTATCGGAGGGGAACCATTAAACTCGGGTTTAAGAGGCAGGCCGGGAGGACGGCTCGTGGATGTTTAGACTGCTGGCCTCCGTGATCTTGAACGCATTATACCGGAAAATAGATCTGCGCTCGTGAGTCACTCGGCCGCGGGGCACCAGGGTTCTGAGAGAGCTGCAGGCGGCGCGGGGCTGGGGGTCAAGGGCAGGAGCTGAGACAGCCTGCAGTGGAGAGGGAGGGAGGCTGACGCGTCTGTGCAGCTCCCGCTGGGCGCAGCTCAGTGTAGGAAAGAGTGTCCACACGGTCTGCGGGCTGTAAAGGACGGGGAGGGAGTTGGGGGCTGAGTGTGCACAAGCCAGTCCTACCCTATGGTCGCCTCTGGGCCTGGACAGAGTGACCCAAAAGAAACCAACAACTCCACCTTGGGCGTCGGTCTTTGGAGGCCAGGCCCCAGGCTGCAAAAGAGGCCTCCGTCAAAGACTCCGCGCAGGGACAGACTTTGCCTTGCCGGATTGATCACCGAGGATCTGTTCTCCGTGGGCAAGGAGGGCGCCGCCCCAGGACTGCCGGTGACTCAGCGCCGGCCCTGTCAGCCACTAAACAGGGTCCCTGGGCAGCTGACTGAGGGATATTTTTTAGGCTGGCCGCAGCTGGGCAGTAGGACAGAGGGAGGCAAAAGCCCAGGCTGGGAGTAGCTGCAAGGCCCTGTCCTCTCAGTCAGGGGTTAATATATTCCCTGGATGGCCCGGCAGAGAGTCCTGAGGCAGTGAACCCAGGGTGGGGCATTGCTGGAACCAGCTTTGTGGGTGAGGACCCAGAGCTTGCATTTGGACTTCCACAGCTCCAAATCCCCAGCGGGAGTGGGGGGTGTCTGCAGTTCTGAGGACTAGGAGAGTTGTTTTTATTTTTTTAAGGCCTGGTTCTTGAAGGACAGGTAGAGTGGTTGTGTTTGTGTTTGTGTTTACTCAGACAGAGACGAACCCTGAATACTAAGTACTGGTAGTTCAATCCTCTTGAAATTTGACACATTTTTAAAAAGCCTGTTTATGAAAAGACATTTAGGGCTGAGGGGCAGGCAGGCCAAGTTAGATGGTTAAACTTGGGGGCTAGGAAAGATAAAATTTCAGGAAAAGAAGTTGGTTGCTTGCTGTTAGATCCAGAGGGAGTTTTGGGATATTTAGAAGGAGTTTGGGCGGATGAAAGAAGAAAGAGCCGGCTGTGGGGCTGTCCAGTGGGATGCTCTGTCCCCTCCAGGCAGTCTTCAGTTTCGAGACTTCAGAATTTGCCACTGTTAGCTTTTCTCAGACTCTTTGAATCAAAACAGAAAATAAGTAAATAGCTTCATGGCCCCAGACAGCATCCCAAGTAAGGAAAGAAATGGGTAATTTGGGACAGAAAAAAAAAATTGTAAGAGATGCCAATCTGAATACCAGCCCTCACTGTCAGCACCGTTATCAGGCAATTACTATCTTCTGGGTGGGGGTGGGGGTAAGGCTTCAAGTAGCTCAGATCCTCAAACCCAGAGACCACAGCCTATGGGAGATGGCCTGCAGGCAGCTTGAAGAGGAAACTAATGGGTGGACTTTAGTGATATCCCCAACTGTAGTGACTGGCTCAGGGAGCTGACTTTGACCGGCTGGACTCTGCCCTGAATAAACAATCAGATGCATCTTTGTTTTCCTTTTAGCATCCCTGGACACGTTTTGCTCCAGGCTTCCCAGGATGCTAGGTTAGCTGACCTGCTCCTTTGGAAAGCTGTGAGGCCAAGATGCCCCAAATTTAGGTGGCCTCTGCATCTTAGGGGTGGGGGGGGTGATAAGGGGAAATGAGAGAAGAAACATAGAGGTGCATCCCCACCTACATGTTAGTTTGGGGACCCCAGGCCTGGTCTGATGCACAAGTTTGGAGTGGCCCAGGGAGGCGCCATGATGCTCCCTGGGGGCCGTGGGAATAATCCCAGAGAGAGGTTCTTTCTGCTTCTCCTATAAAGCCTGAGCTGAAATCAGCCTTACTCAGGTTGGAGACTGTGTCCCGGGGAAGCAACCCAGGTTTAGGAGGATGTGGTTCTGTGTCAGAGGTCTGCAAAATAGACAGAACCAGATCCAAACATTCATCTTGCGCCCGTGTCTCTTCCCTTCTTCCTCCTTTCCCTTGAGAAGATTCGAAGGGAGAGGCCACGCATTTCCTCCCAAACATTTTGGTCTTCTGAGATATCACTGTTACAATCAATCTGATTTAAACCACAATTTAAAAAACCCATTTTAGTCCCTTTTGGGGGAAAATGTGGATTTTTTAGGGGTGTTCATGATTTTGAAAGCAAGGGCAATTTATATCCTGTATTGTGCTCATGAGAACTCAAAATAAACTGGACCCACAAAGAGCTAGGCCAGAGGGCTGTAAACACACACTTCACATTTATGGGATTTATGGCTGGATTCCCTTTATTGTCTTTCAAATCTTGTTTTGCCTTGTTTTATTAACCAACCTAGTAGAAAAGAATCTGCGCATTCCACTAAATTGCTATAATACTCTTATATGAGATAAATCTCACAAGATGCTAACCCCCTGAAGATGATCAAACCTGGAAGGTGACAGAAAAGAAATATTTCCTGGAAGGTGTAACTTCAGCCCCACCTGCTGCAAGGACAGTGCTTCTTGCCACAACCCTAACCCTGCCTAACCCTTCATTCCTTTCTGCACTTGGGTGGGACGGAGTCATTTTTAGTCCCAGAATATTTAGGACACCCAGAGCAAGGGATACTGTTTTAGTTGAGGCAAGAGTCTCCCTCTAAAAGTCCCTCCCTTTCTTGTTTTCCTTTTGAGAAATAGTTGTCAATAGACATGGCAAGTGACAGTGGCTCCAGAAAAGGGGTGCTTCTCCCAGGGTTGCTTAGATTCTACAAAGGAGAATGGAATTCGATTGAACTTTTACATGTTTATTTCAAAAAGGAAGAATAAGAAAAACTACTTTGGACTTTATGAGGTTTCATTTCTTCTGAGCAGTTTCTTTTGGGGTCTTGGGCTGGAGCTGGGATATTTGGGGAGTGGACCCTCGTCCCTCTTCCCCAAGCAGAGCAGATCTAAGGACATGGGAGGAGGAGGCGGCTGGTACAGCTGAATGATGGCCGGGAGGGGCTGATTGTTTATGAACCCCGTCAGCCCAGATCTGATCAGAAAACAGTTAAGTCAGTGGAGATTTAAAATCATGACTTACTTGGTGCTGTGTATTCTCTCCTCCTCTCCCTCTTCTCCTTCCTCCTCCTTCATCCTTCTGTCCTTTTCTCCCTCATAATTTGCCCTCCAAAAGTGTTTAAATTTACTAGATTTTTCCCCTGTCACTCAACCTGAGACTGGTGTAGAAGAATGAGACAGACACTGCTTTATAAGAAAAATCTCAAGATCCAATCTTATCCAGTAGAATTTACATTTTCTCCAAATAATCAATAACTAGATCTTTACTGTAACTGGGAGATATGTTGCTGTTCTGTTTATTGATAAGGGAGAACTAGATATTTTGCTAGGTACCTAAATCTATCTGTAAAGCTAAAATACTTATTCAGACAACAAGAGAACATAAGCTAATCCTGTGGAAGGCCTCACATGAGGTGTATATACATGGGCGGTATTATTAATGTAATTATACTAATCCTAAGAGGTCCAGTAAATTGATCTTTGCTAATCTTTGTTACCTGGTAGTAACATATGGAGTTTAGAACAAAACTGATGTAAGCATCAGCAGCATTTATGTTAAATATTCATTATTGTTTACAGCAACTCATTTACACACCAGCAATATTTTCTTTCAAGCTGGGGGAAATTGATCTTTCAACATTCAAATGAGGAAGTGAATATAAGTTTGCATCATGTCTTATAGAAATAGTAAGTAATAAGCAGTGAACTTGAATTAGCCTGCAAAGTAGTTTGGAGTTCAGAATAAAATCAGAATGCAGATAGAAATTTAAATGTTGGGATTTGTAGAAACCGTTTATGTGGCGGCAAGATTTGCTTGTGACTTGAAGCCCTGGCATGGTCCTGTGTAGCTGGGACTGCAGTATGCTCAGATTCCTGGAGATTTCTATAGTTTCCTTTGCAAACTCACATAGATGGATTTCTTTAGCTCTGACAGTTTCTTCCAAACCTTTTCTACATTCTTCTGAGGTCTTTGCTTATAGACAAGGGACTTGAACCAGGATGGTTAGGTTTCAGGTTAACAAAAAGAAACACTTTTATTGTCAATATTAATGGCAAACCTCGATTTTTACAAGGCTCCAGTTTAGCAGTACGAGCAGATCAAAAGCAGCTTGGCTTGATTTCTCAATATTCTCTGGAGCTTAGACAATTAACTGCAATTTTGCTTCTAACGAAACAACACAAAAAAAGTTAGTTACAGAAACGTTAAAGGGAGTCTTTGGCAGAGATTTTTACCTGTAGATAACATATTAGAATCACATACATTTATCTACCGAATTGAACTTGAGTTTTGAAGGAAAACTCCTTAAGAAAATGTTACATGAGCGATGGCACGAGGCAGTTTCAGTGTGTGCATTCCCTTTTTGCCTTTCTGGTTGGGTAAGGATCCCGCAGACCGAGGTCTCTCTGGTAATTTGGGTACACCGAGTCTCCAGTTAATGATAGATAATCAGCCTTTGGGTCATTCGGTCATTCTCTTATTACAACCCCCTCCTGCTCTCTCTGATCTCCTTTCAAACTAAATTTCACACAAACAAATAAAGCAAGACAGGGACAAGTTCTTTAAAAAAAGAGGGAGAAATATTAGAAACTCCTGATACAGAACTCTAAACAAGGAAAGGCAAGCTAAAAGAGGATAGGAAAGAACATCTTATCAAAATGAACATGGTGTGTACAAAACATTAAAAGGAAAGGCTCTGGTTTCTGTTAAAGTGACAGAAAATTAAAATAAAAATAATTGCAAGCAGAAGAGTTATAAACAGAGAAGGCAGGATGCTGGCTGGAAGTGCGCAGCACAAGGGGCTCATTTGTTGTTATGGATTACATATCTGCACCACAATTGGAGAGGTGCTATTTTGTTCCGTTTTCCAGAAGAGAATGGTTTTCTTTTTAATACTTGTGTGAGTGCCCAGCTAAGTGAACACAGGCCAAAACCTCGAGGAACAACAACAACAACAAAAAAATGGGATTGCATTCTGCTTGCAAAGAAAGCATCCAATTTCAAACAAAGAAATGGGTTGGGTAGAAAGAGGCATATAACTCCATTCAGAACACATTTGGGGACTTTGCTATAAATTGGTGTGGCTGATGGCTTTTTGTTTTGCTGACAGAAGGTGGACATCATTCACCGGATGTAGAACCAAAATCAACCCCCCCCTCCCCAGGGGTCTTCGCTTTCCCAGTCTCCATTTGCCTGTAACTCCAGAAAGACAAACTTCAGACTGACCAAGGTACATGGTAGACCAGACCACGCTGGGAAAAGTGTGCATGTGCCTGGTTCTAGGGGTGAGGGTCTCCTGTGAGAGCCAGAGCCTCTTTTGCCATTTTTCCATCCCTGCCTAGGACAATTCCCTTTGGCCTAAGTCCAGAGAAGCATCAAAGTCTACCTGTTAGACTCAGCATCTGTAGCTTAAGCAGCTAAGGCGCTAGCCACATACACCAGAGTTGGTGGGTTCGAATCCAGCCCTGGCCTGCCTACAACAATGACAACTACAACCAAAAAAACCAAAAATAGCCTGGCCTTGTGGTGGGAGCCTGTAGTCCCAGCTACTTGGGAGACTGAGGCAAAAGAATTGCTTAAACCCAGGAGTTGGGGGTTGCTGTGAGCTGTGATGCAACAGCACTTTACCCAAGGCGACAGCTTGAGGCTCTGTCTCAAAAAAGAAAGAAAGAAAGAAAAGTCTACCTGTTGGTGTCCAACCCCCAAGCCTTAGGTTTTCACTCCTAACAGAATTTGGCTCAGGACATGATCAGTCCAAGTTAGAGAGGCAGCCAGGTGTTGAAAAGTGTGACTCCTGCTTTGTCCCCAACTCTGAGCCTAGCACCCCCTTGCCTTACTAGTGTCAGCAGCAGCAGCTAACAACCCAGCTCTCTCTGGTGTTAGGGAATCCACACTTCTTTGTTTCTTCTAGGTGGAGCCTGAATGCCACCTCCTCCAGGAAGCCTTCCCTGATGTGACTTCTCCTCTTCCTCTCCCTCCCACCCCCTCCACCCCCAAATTGAGTCTTCTGCCACTGAACACTTTTCTGCTGCTCCAGCTTATATGCTTTGGGGTAGGACTCCGGCCACACGGATGCTACCTCCTGTGATTGTGGGGTCCCTGAGAGCTCAGCCAGCGCACTGCACCGAGAAAGGGAGGACTCAGAGAAATCCGGTGAATTCCACGCATCCCAACTGCAGTCGGATTATTGGGAAGTGATTACAGCTAGTGAAGGAGTTGAAAGGCGTCTGCCAGGGCGCAAACTTGTACCTCCAGGCCGCCTTTGAGACCAGCTTCGGCTGGATCTGAGCGTGGATGCCCGGCCTGGCCTCTCCGGACACCCATCCTTGAGCTCCGGAGTCAGCAGTGGATTTCCCAGAGTCTGCCTGAGCAACCCGGGATCAGCTCCTCGCGGTCCCCAGGCATTAGCGCTCCTGCTAACCAGTGGGGATGGTGACAGGAGCTGGGGGGACTAGGCTGGGTTGAAAATGAGACCGACGTGTCCGCCAGAACCACGCCGGATGCTGCCACGCTCAGGGAGTATCGGAGCATTTTCTCTGCCTGCCTTTTGCGTTCCTTCCCCTCCTTTCCAGCTGCCTGAAGACCCTGCACCCGACGGGGACTGGTGCCAACCAGGCTAGGGCGGCTCCAGGGGTCAGAGGAAGCGCTGCGGTGGCTGAGGTGGCGGCGCCCGGGAAACAGCTTTGGGCAGGGACCAGCGAGCGGCCGGAGCGGCCACCCGGGATTGAGGACGCGGGTTGTCGAGTCCTGGGGACAGGGGCCGAGCGGTCCTCCCATCCGTTTGCACTGTCGCTTTGCTCCCAGCTCCCTCTGGGTTTCGGACACTGAGGTGGGTGTAGGGGGGACCCTCGCTTCCAGCTGAGGGTCTCCGAGGACTTTTCGCTGGAGGCGGGCAGGAAGGGGTTAATCCACCCCCCCCCCCAAGTCCCTGCGCCTGGCGAAGGCTGCCGCTTCCCTCCGGAGATCTCATTAGGGAAACCCTCCCTCCCCTCTATTTTCCACATTTCCTCAATCAAGTGCCTTGAAATAGAGCTGCGCTAACAAAGTGGCGGGGAGCGCGCACACCTTGTCACAGCGGAGGCCGATCCAATATCTCAGCCTTGTTTGCTTTGCAATTACGGGGCTGGCGGGTGGCTGCGGTGCCACCTCGGAGAACGTGCTGCCGCACGCGGAGGGTTGCGGGGGAGGTGTCGGGGGGTGGGCGCCGGCAGCCCAGTGCGACCAGTGCGCACAGCGGTGGAACAGCGGACAGATCTTCCCGGCTCCCGCCGCGGCCACTGAGCTCAGTGCAAGAGTAATGGTGAGATCACGTGTGGAAATGTAGAAACCAGTGCGTGTCCTCCCAGCTTCCTTTCGGCCTGTCCTCCTCCCCGTCCCCTTCCACGGTCCCCTTCCTTCCGTCTTCCTTGCAGGGCATCGTAGGGCCACCTGGACACCCCTTCTCTCTCCGGTTAAACTGCTTTCACCATTTGCCTTATTTTCCAGAGCTGTTTATTCTCGTTTGACTTTCTGGGCATAGGCTCTTTAAGTCGGCCTCAGGGGAGAGTACAAAGCCCCAGGCCCTTAGGATGGGTCACTGCGGGCTAGGGGCTGCCCCCAGCTCAGTTTGGATTCCTTTGGGGATATTTCTGGCGCAGGATTCGGCCTCTGGGTCCCTACTCGCGTGGGCCAGACCGGGTTTGCGCGTGCGGAACAGTAGTTAACTCCAAGCAGGTCGTAAGCCTTCTATTTCACAGACAATTAAATCTTGGCCGCCGTTGGACGAAATTGTGATATTCACTCTGCTCTATTCTGAGGAGCACTTTTAAAAGTTAAAAAACAAAAGAAAACAAAACCAAACAAATACTCCATTTCACAAAGAAAATATGGCAATAAATCTCTTTTTATGGATTCTCTCTGTGTAAGTGGGAACAACATGATTTGAATCCTTAAATTTAAAACCTACCCTTACCCCCTCCCCCCAGGGCACAGCTGAAATTTCACAGAAATGTCTTTAAGGCACATTCTCCATCTCTCCCCAGGGTGCGGAGACACCTGCTTATGTCACATGCAGTCTAGGTTTCTAGGTCTCAGACCCTGCCCTGCCCTGCTGGGATAACATGTAGCGAGGATTATCAGATGATAAGACCTTGGATTCAAAGTCTACTTTTCACATAGATCAAGAAAGATGGGTGATGGTTTTACGATATCAAGTTAGTTTCTATTGGACACCCATTTTCCTTTCATGTGGATTTCTGAAGGAGATGGGGGCGTTGAAGCAGAGAAATATTTTTAGGACACTCTGGAGTCTATGTTAAAATGTACTTCTTCGTTAAAAACGTGTAAGGTGTGGACCTACATTTGTTTGCTGGTGGTCATAAAATAAATTCATAGCCATGGAGGCCAGCAAGCCATCTCTCAACTTAAAAGTTCTTTGGTTTATAATCCCATGTGGATTGTATCAGCACTATTCTGTGTCTCCCTCCTGTAATATTTTGGTTCCCAATGTTCTTTAAAGCAAACCTCAAAAATGAGGCTTCATAAATTTGTGCAGTGACAGAGCCACAGAATAACATTTTAATCCACATAAGCATTCACACTTGTGTGTATCTCTCCTCAGACAGTTTGCTAGCCAACTAATTGCTTTAGTATTTCAAGAAATAGGAAACAGTAGCTAGAAAGGGTACCATTTCATAAGAATTCTAGTCTCATAAAAAAACTTGGCCTGGCACATTACTCAATGCACAAATTATAATATTACTTTCATGTGTGCTAATCTGTTTAGTATTAAAACTGCTGTAGTGTCTTAAATAGCCATTAACATGATTTACCATGCCACTCTCAAATGGGTGATCTCAGATAATTATGAAGATCCTGATGTTAATCCCACATTCAGTTAACAACTATGAAAATAACCTAAAAACATTCTTATTCTCATATAAATGCCAGCAATTGCAATTGTAGAGGGAACACAATTACTTTTTCTCTGACATTATCCTATAAGGATATGGCTACATTCATTTCTTTTAAAATCAGAACAGTTTTCAATTACCTCTTAAAAGAGTTTTTTCTACATAGCATTTTTCAATGCTTATAAACCATAGCAACTTTATACTGACAGATACATATTTTTCTACATTATTATTCATTAGCCTCTTTGCAAACTCACTAACATAGAATAATATTAAAAAAATCAACATGTAGAGAACAAGTATTAGTTTCTACATATTTATTTAGGTAAGCTAAGGCTATTAAAATTAAAAGCATGTGCTTGGCATATACATGCTTCTTTAGGAATTCTCTTTGAATGCATAGTTATTATTTTTTAAACCAACTCAGATTTTCAAACACTGATTTTTCACTCTGAACAGGCATTGCATTGTTTTAAACAGTAGCTCCTGGAAAAATACCATCTTTAGACTTTCAAACAACGATTGGAATTGGATAAATGCTTTCAGCTGGGTGCACTTTTCTAATACTCTTGTAAGGTAATAGGATTCTTTATTTGTGCTGGGTGACAAAGGGACAGTGCCTTGGACACAATGCCTACCCTCTGCACAATATACCCCCCAAATGGAGGTTTTCTGTGAGTTTGTGGTCCATCATTTTTTTTTTTTAAATTTGGTAAAATGTGAAATCAGAGAAAATGAGTAATTGCTTTTCTAACTGTAATTATGAAATGACAGCTTAAGGAGGTAAGAAAAACAGAGCAGGAGTAATGCAGAAATACAAATTCTAAAATAGGCAACGTTTGCTGGGGTGGGATATCCATAGACAGCACTTGCAGTGAGGAGTTCGATCACGTAACCAGGGGGATTGATTTCCATTTTGTCCAATTCGGTGACTTTAGCATTCTTTTTCACGAGGAAGCCCAACCAAGAAAATAAATATAAATTCTTCTATATGGGAAAATACTAAAATATATGTACCTTTGCTTACTATGCTATTTTTCTTTCTAATGAATGAATGATGTATCAATTGGTGTCAAAAATCATTGAATTTTTTTTCAAACTGGGTTTAAATTGTAATAGTTATGTGTATTCATGACATGATTTCCACAAACTTATTGAGAAAGAAATTAACAAAGCTTTATTTCTGGCAATTAATCTGTGATAACTAAAGCAAAAAACTCCCTCCTTGCCTTCCTAAGGTAATTCAGCCTTTTAAAACATTGTTCAGTTCTACATATCTTGTGTTATTCAAATAAAGACAATGGAAAGAATAAAATT